TCACAGCTCACAGCAACCTCCAACTCCTGGGCTCAAGCGAGTCTCCTGCCTCTGCCTCCCAAGTAGCTGGGACTACAGGTGCCCGCCACAATGCCTGGCTGTTTTTTGGTTGCAGCCATCATTGTTGTTTGGCGGGCCCAGGCTGGATTTGAACCTGCTGCCAGTTCAGGTGTATGTGGCTGGTGCCTTAGCTGCTTGAGCCACAGGTGCCAAGCCAACACTTATTTTCCTTTACTTTCTCTATAGAGCTCCTCTCTAAAAGATCCCATTTGTAACTTACATATACAAAAGCATGAATTGCTGATACATGGAGCAAAATGGTGAATTTTAAAAAACAAGCAAAAGCCAGAGACAAAAAGTATGATTCTATTTACGTGCAGCCCTAGAACAGACAAAAACTTTATCTCTGGTGATAAAAATCAGAAATAGTTGCTGATTGAAAGAGAATTGACTTGAAAGAAACCTGAGGGAACATTCGGGGTGATGGAATGTTGTATGTCTTGCTTTGGGTGACATACATACTCATACCCATGTATAAGTATATGCAATAGTCAAAATACGTCAAACAGAATACCTAAGAGACATTAATTATATCTCCATTTTTTTAAAAACTCAATGGCAGACCTTTCCTCAGTGAGGAAACCGCTCCTGAGTTTAGAACATTTGTTGTGTCCCTTCACACGTTCATTTGTATATTCACTGATAAATACCTCTCACATACACAACTATATTGTCATATTACTGTTTTGAAAACAAAAGTTCCTATTGACAGACCTTCATCTTTTGACAGGTTCTGGTCTCCTTGGCTCATTATAAATTTATTGAATAAATGTATTACACTGACCCTTTTCCTATCCATTCTTGGGATGGAATAGCCTGTAAAGACCTATAAAAGGTGAGATATGGGAGGGTACCTGTGGCTCAAAGAAGTAGGGTGCTGACCCCATATGCCGGAGGTAGTGAGTTCAAGCCCACCCCCGGTCAAAAACTACAAAAAAAAAAAAAAAAAAGCTAGATATGACTACTCATACATAATTCAGATAACTTAAAGGAAATAAAGATTTCTCATTTTTTACTTGTATCTTTTTTTTTCTGAGACAGAATCTCAAGCCCTGTGTAAAGTGCTGTAGCATCACAGCTCATAGCAACCTCAGACTCTCCAGCTTAAGCGATTTTCTTGCCTTAGCCTCCCAAGTAGCTGGGACTGCAGGCACCTGCTGCAATGCCCGACTGTATTTTGGTTGCAGTTGTTACTGTTGTTTGGCAGGCCCGGACTGGATTCAAACCGGCCAGCTCCAGTATATGTGGCTGGCCCCCTAGCCTTTTGAGTTATAGGGGCCAAGCCTGAAGAGGCAATTTTTTAAAATAATGTATTTTAAGCCATTTGGGAATGAAAACTAATATTAGAACTTCACCAGAAATGGCAATATATGTGACATTAGTGCCACAGTTTTCCCTATCCTGGCTCATGGCAGGCATCACCATCAATGGTGGCATCTTTCGGCTTGGCGCCTATAGCTCAACCGGCTAAGGCGCCAGCCACGTACACCTAAGGTGGCGGGTTCGAATCCCCAGCCCGGACCCGCCAAACAACAATGAC